AAACAGAAGTACCCTGTCAGCCCAATGTGTTAAAAGCTTTTGAGTAAAAATAAGTCTTCAGTAACATTTTAAAAATAGTAACAGATGATGCCTGCCTGATGGTGACTAGTAGGGATGTGTATTGGTGAAATTCTGGCGATACAATACGTATTACGATACAGGGGAGACGATACAATATATCACGATATATTGCCATAATCGATATTTTCTTACATCCCTAGTGACTAATAACAACCAAAGAGTAGATGCCGCCACTGAGAAAGACCTAAAGCCTCTGCTCTGCAGCCTCACCCTAGGGACATTCAGTCGAAGTTGGTCAGCTGACCTCCGTCTATGAGATGGAACATAATGCATGAGAAGCTCAGAGAGATGAGACAGGTGCACGGCCATTTAAACATTTATACACCAGAACAATAATCCTGAATTGCACACGGAACCTAACAGTGCAGAGAGGAAAGAACTGGAGTGATGTGATCAAATCTACAAGTGCCAGTCAAAAGGCTGCAGCATTCTGAACTAGCTGCAACCTAGAAATACACCTATGATTAATGCCATGGTAAAGACTACTGCAGTAGTCTAAACGAGATGTTATAAATGCATGTATAAGCTTCTCTTCTGCAGTGTTTCACCACTGTTTAAGAGAATTCTACCAGGAATCCTGGAATCTAATCCTAACCCTTAAAAACTGTAGAATAATTAACTGGAGCAGAATCGTTTAGCATAAAGATTGGAAGAAAATCCTCATTGCAGTCCTGACCTAAATGAAAGATCTGTAGCTGTCTGTGGTAATCCTTTGTCTTTGTGTCTTTTCATCTGTTACTGATGTTGTTATTGTTAGAAAGGATGTTCCAGAAGAAGTGAGCTGACGCACATTAGGACATTAGCTTTTGAGTCGAGACTATTGAGTGGCCATTTAGATACTTTAGCTTAGCACAAACTGTATACTGTTTTAATTAACCTTGGCTGTGAGATGTACTGGTTTGTGGATGAAATAAGCGTCAAGAAATAGCATCATGGGACGGAGCAGGCTAATAAAACCGGAGTGTGTGAAAGTGAGTCAGGCAGAGAAGGAAGGAGGAAAGAGAAAGTTACGGCTCTGTGCTCCCTCTCTCATTTCTGCTTACTGGTTCTTCCTCCTTCCTCTGTGCTTCCTCTGGGGGGGGGGGGGGGGGGGGGGGGGGGGGGCTGCCAAGAAAGTTTATAATGCTCTAAAACCTGTCAGGCACTCGCTGTTATATATATGGCCTGTAAATTTACTGGTTAATGTGCTGATGCACCCCCCCCCCCCCCCTGCCCCCGCCACTCACAGTCTTACAGCACAGGAAATGATGGAGGGAGACAGACATCCACTCAGACAGACAGACAGGTAATTTTAGGTCCAGCCTTGACTACTGTCACCCATTCTGTCACACACTGGTAACATTTTATGCACCCTTCACCTCACTGCCACCACATTTGCTTCATCTGCTGTCCTTATGCATGTACCATCATGGATACATCAATGTTAATGGCTTTTTATAACTTGCATGAGTGGATGATCTTTGTGAGAATGTTTGCTTGTTTTTGTGGACAAACATCTACTGAACCAGGTGTTTTTAAGTGTCAGTGAACCTTTGATAAAGTTTGGATGAAAGAAAGCCTGCTTACTAAAATTAGCTCCTTAATACCTGTGAGATCATTATTATTTAATCAGTCAGAAAAAGAGTTTTATAATGCATCCAGAACCACGTTCTAGGGTTTGGTGGTCAGTTAGAGCTGCCCTGAACTTATACCACCATATGATGTTCCCCGCCTGCCTAAAAACGCTGTTTTATTACAGCGTGTAACTCACGGCGTTCCAAGATTTCCAGTCTAATTTAAAGCTTCTTTCCGGAGTATTTCTCTTATCCGATGGCACCATCTAGTGGCTGACAATCATATCACACTCCTTACAGAGCTAAAACACGTTGTTTTTAACGAGTATTTTTCTCATGTCATGTTGTGTTCTCATATATTTATATTTTAGAGACTTTCTTGTCCGTGAAAAGTTCATAAACTCTGCATTAGCCGAGGTACTCCTTAAATTTGAAGCAATTAGCTATTGGTTAGTTCTGGTCGGCGCTCGGTTTCCTATTGCACAGAGGTCTGCGGGGCAGGGGGTGTGCGTAACAAAAAAATTAAAAAATAACGACTTATTGCTTACATTATATCAAGCACATGATAAGATAATCACTTTAAAGCCCCAGTGTGTAATATTTTACCTGTTTACTACCAAATCCTGTGTTTCCAGTTCACAAACGTGTCCTTTTTCACTAATATTTCTCACCAACATCAATTCTAACTATTCCTCTCAACTTGAAATGATACATTTTTAAATACATAAACTATGTTCGAGGCTCCATGGTCATCCCACCATCTTAAACTACAGTAGCTGTTTATGGACATGCGAGCTTCATGTTACCCGTTTAGACTATGACTGTAACCTGACAGAACCAGCAGAGGGCAGCAGTTTGCCCTGGAAGTATGGAGTCTGCCAATTCAACTAAGAAATAGAAAAGAATAGCTACACGGTTGCTGTACTTGTTAGTTTGAATAATAAACAATTAAATCAAAAGCCACATATGTTCAGACCCCCGCCCGCTATTAGCTGGACGCCAGCCTCGGTTTAGTGTCTCTGACTCCCAAACTCACCTCAAGTTGTTCATCCATCTTTTCCTTGTAGCAGAACTCCCAATCCAGTCCCAACGTGTCCGTTCCAAAGTCCTTCTACTCAAGTCTCCTCTCTTCCCGCAGCCTGCCGTCTCTCCCAACACGCTCCAGCACTCGTCCGCTAGCCAGTGGCTAAATCAGTGTTGTTTACCTCCACAACGTTTTACTAACGGCGATGTAGTTCTACACGTGTTACAGAGACACTCCGACACAGAGGGCTTCTTCTCAAACGTTACCTTTAGGTTTGGGTCTCCTTTTGCTGGTAATCTGTGAGTTTACGCGCAGCATACACAGCGTCTCCCCGGCTCTGGCCATGGCTAACTAGTAGCTCTTGATGCCCATCTCCACCACGCCAGCCGTGAGCCACGAGTAGCTGGTGGATAAGTCAGAATCGTTTACTTGACTTCTACAGCGTGTCCTCGGCTCACTAACACTCCTTCACCAGCCGTGGTTAACGATCAGCCAGTTATCGCTCCATAGATGGTAGCAGCAGCCAGTTTGTTTACATCGAGGCACCGTGATCCACATGAAACGGGTGTTGTGGGAAATTATGTTCCCCTGAAATATTCTGTTTTCCTTGGGCAGTCAAGAGCAAATATTTCCAAATCCACAGAACTTCTTGTCCATTATGACGACTTAAGCTTGGTTTATGCTTGACGCATTCACTTTCCGCGCGGTGATGCGGCTCGCGGATGGAACGCGCTTCACAACTCGCAGCGTTTATGGTTTGTGCGGCTCGTCTCTGCGGTGAGCCAATATTCTCCCAAACTGAACGGGGCAGCATGGAGCTCTACAGCATGCATCCAACACTCCACCATAGTAGAAGTAGAAATTACTGTTTACAACATGGCATTTCAGCATTTTTAACAGCGTTCTCATCTTTTCCGACAGTGCGAGCTATTCCTCTCCAAGAATTATTAACAACATGTTGATCACGGTGATCTTTGAGAGCTGAATCATACAAATGTCTGTATTTACGAACCTCTGCCGTGCCGGTCCGCCATGTTTTTCCGCGTCCGACCGTCCGCGTGGTTAGAAATTTTCCGAGGTGCGCGTTGCGGAAATCTTGGGCCGTGCGGAGACGCGGTGGAGGGGCGTGGTTGTTAAAATGACGCAAAATGACGCAACTTTTCCGCGCGGAGCCGTGCGGACCTCGCGGACGCGTCAAGCATAAACCAACCTTAAACTACCTCAAATAAAAGATGGTTAAACTGAGTGAGATTACATATTTTTACATAACTATAAAAAATTATAAATAAGCTTGCTGCAAAAGAGTGAACAAGAATGTTTTTACAGTATATATTTTTTATTGTTTTTAGGAGGAAATACACATAAAAAATCACAAGCATAACATTATTATATTACATGACATCATTTTACCGTAAAAGTTTATCACAAATGTTGAGAAAATAGCCAGATATGCGATCTCCCGACACGGGGGACAGAATATTTCAGAGGAACACAATTTCTCACAACACCTGACCTCCCGGCTGACGTCACCCCCCCTCCGTGTGTGAATCGTGACCGCTTCAAGATCTAACAGAACTAGCTTGCTTCAGAACCGGTAGGCTGATAAAACAGTCATAATTATAAATACTTTTTAAAAAGGTCGAGTAGCTCGTTTTTAGCTTTGTGTGGGTTAGACTACACAGGCTGGAAATTGATTATACAGTCAAACTCACGAGTGAGCCACCGTAGCTGCAATACTTCCTCTGAACTGCACGGCGCTAAAGAGTCGCATTTTTTCATCAAGGTTTCAATGGATTTCACACATGGCGCCTTTAACAGATTTCTGACAAATCATACATAATTTCTGAAGGGGGAAAACTCTGGAAAGATACTTTAACAGTATTTTTAAAATAAAAGTGCTACAGATAAGTACCTGTCGTAAACAGCTGGTGTCCGTAAAGGAAAATTAATACAGCTGCAGCAATGGTAACAGAAGAAGAGTTTACAGGAAGTATTCTTCATACACAAGTTAACTCAAGTTTTAGCATATTTATTTACAAAATCAATTATCATTTACAAAACTAGCATGGGTAAAAATGGACCCAAGACTCCTTAAAACATTTTATTTTTCACACCTGGCACTAACTGGGCTCCGTAGGTATTTTTCTACAGACATACTTTTGATTCTTTAGCTTCTAACATAACCTACAGCTACCTCCACAAAGAACACGAGCTCCACTTGTTGACCTGGCTGGAAATTGAAGCTTCTATAGAAGGTTTTGTAGTAGTGACACACAGCAGCAGCACTTTTGTGCTGTGCGGTGTGTCGACCTTGTTGTTTTTGGCCTGCTCATCTCTCACAGGCAGGTGCTGCCAACCTACGACAGCCTGGATGAGCCGTCAGTCAAACGCATGAGCACCATCTTCACCTCAGCCCTCAATGTGGTCACCATCTTCTACATCACTGTGAGTGGAGCTCGCTTATTCACACGCATGCGTTGATGTCTTTGTTTACTCCCCATCACTGAGTCCTTGTGACTCGTTGTCATCCAGGTTGGTTTCTTTGGCTACGTCAGCTTTACCGAGAACATCGCCGGCAACGTGCTGATGAACTTCCCATCCAACCTGGTGACTGAGGTGATCCGTGTGGGTTTTATGATGTCTGTGGCTTTTGGGTTTCCTATGATGATCTTACCGTGCCGCCAGGCCATCAACACCATGCTCTTTGAGCAGCAGGTGAGCTCAGACACCACTCAGCTACACCTCCTGCACAGGGGACTGTACGTAGAAACCTCTATACTTAATAAGCTGAAAATTCAATTCATCCTGATGTCAGAAAAAATGGTGTGTGTGTGTGTGTGTGTGTGTGTGTGTGTGTGTGTGTGTGTGTGTGTGTGTGTGTGTGTGTGTGTGTGTGTGTGTGTGTGTGTGTGTGTGTGTGTGTGTGTGTGTGTGTGTGTGTGTGTGTGTGTGTGTGTGTGTGTGTGTGTCCACTGACACCTCAGGATAGGTCTTCTGTCTTTAAAGAGCTCCTACTTGAAGCAGAGTTTATCTGTGCATAATTTAGCTAACAGGAAACGGTTAAAGTTACCATTTATAGAAAATTCAAAGAAAAGTTTAGATTTTTCACTGTGATTTATTTTTAAACAGATGACGCACTTCTGGGTTAGAGTAGAAAAGAATTTGTCACTATACACAAGTTCAAAGAGATTAAAAGCAGCTCCTTCAGTGCAGTCAGACACATAATAAACAACAAAAACATGATATTAACGAGTGGGGTAAAGTTGCTCTATATACATATTTGAAATTGTCAGGTTTGGGCAGAAAGGACACCTGAGGTCGGGTGGTGTTGGTGCATGTGAGTTTAGGGGGTTATGGCTTTCAGGAAAATACTGTTCTTGAGCGTGTTTGTTCTGGTTGTGATGCACCTGTAGTGTCTCCCAAAGGGCAACAAGTCAAACAGGTCACAGTCGAGGGTGGGGGGTGGGGGGGTCCTTGATGTCTTTTGCTCTGCTGAGGCGGTGGGAGGTGTAAATATCCATCAGGGAGGTGAAGCAGCAGCCGATGATCCTCTGTGCTCCCTTTGCAACTCTCTGAAGCCTCTCCTTGTCTGCCATGGTGCAGCCGCCATACCACACTGTGATGCAGTAGGTCAGCAGGCTCTCGATGGATGAATGGTAAAAGGTCGTAGCAGGTTGGAATCCAGGTTGTGCTTCCTGAGGACCATCAGGAAGTGTAGCAGCTGCTGAGCCTTCTTGATGACAGCTGTGATGTTGTTTGTCCAGATGTCAGCGGAGAGGAGCACGCCAAGAAACCAAAATTTGTGGACCCTCTCTGCACAATCCCCATTGACAAAAAGGGGGGGCTAATTCGTTACTGTTCCTCCTAATGTCTACGATGGTCTCTTTAGTTTTCTTGGTGTTCAAAGCAAGGTTGTTCTGCGAGCATCAGGCTGACAACTTGAGGACCTCCCCTCTGTAGTCCGCCTCGTCACCCTTTGAGATGAGTCCAACCATTGTGTGGTGTCATCAGCAAACTTAACGAGGCTGCTGTTGTGAGCTGGACTGCAGTCGTGGGTGTAGAGATAGAACAGGAGGGGGTTCAGCACATAGCCTTGTGGGAGTCTGTGTTCAGTGTGTGAGTGGAGGAGAGGCAGGGTCCAAGTCTCAGTGTGAAGGCGTTTGGTAAGAAAGTCCTTTATCCAGTCGTGTGTAAGAGGAGGGAGTCCCGGTGATGAGAATGTCAGGAAAGATTGCATTAAAAGCTGAGCTGAAATCCACAAAGAGCATCTGGACGTAGCTCTGCTGCTGCTCAGGTGACTCAGCAGAAACCCCTTCAGTTCTTACATTGGAGCTCGCTTAGCCTGAGTGGAAGAATTGTGTGCTTTAATTTTTTTCTCTTTTCTCACATCCTGATCTGTGTCTCCTCTCCTCCACAGCAGAAGGATGGGACATTTGCTGCCGGAGGTTACATGCCTCCTCTGCGCTTCAAGATGATCACCCTCTGCATCGTGTTTGGCACCATGCTGGGAGGCATTCTCATCCCTAATGGTACATTCTGTGTGTGTGTGTGTGTGTGTGTGTGTGTGTGTGTGTGTGTGTGTGTGTGTGTGTGTGTGTGATGGGGTACCCTATGTGTTCCTCTATGTGGGCGGGGCAGCGGGGAGCTTTACGATGTGTGTGAATGTGACTTTACGAGTCAGTGACTGTCACACTCTAACACAGTCTTTAAATCAGGGCCCCAACTTTTATCTCCTTTTAGATGGGCTGACAGGTAGATAGGGCTGTTATTCTCCACCACACACACGCACGCACGCACGCACACACACACACACACACACACACGCACGCACGCACACACACACACACACACACACACACCAGGATTGACTCCCTGTCAGCAGCTTTAGGTCTGTGTCCCTCTCCCAGACACCTCCAAACTGGCTGGAGATGAAAAGATGAACAGCTTAGTATTACTTTGTTTTATTCATTCCTTTGGTTGTTTGTTAAACCTTCGATTGGATGACCCAACACACACACACACACACACACACACACACACACACACACACACACACACACACTGGCTCAGGGAGGGGGTTGGTTGTATCTTTGTGTATCTAATCAGACTAATAGACTGAAGAGAAAGGAAGTGAGGACCCCGGGGAGAACGGACACTAAATCTGAGGGAAACAGTATGGTGTCCGTCCTCTGGATGAACGATAGGTTTCCGGGCCCGACGCCCAGCAGGCTGATCTACAGATGAGACTTGGGTCGGGCCAGAGCTCTCTGCTGTCCGCCTGGGCTGTGGGTGGCCGAGGCCATGCACGTTTTAGGTCTAGGAAGGTTTTCTTTGGCTGAGCTAGAGCCATCTTCTCTGAATAAACACATTTATTTACCGTAGCTTCTCCGATTTAAAAGACCCGTTAGCCTTTACATTAGCTCTTTATCAGATTGTCTAGCTGATGATTGCAGCTCTGATCCAATTCAATCTGTTTTTAATGATAAATTGTCCTCACACTCACTGCTTTTTACACTCTATATGCAGCACCACTGCACTCAATCACACACCAATAAACGTAGAAGTAAGGAGTGCCTTGCCCAAGGACACTTCAGCATGCTGCAGGGTCTGGAGGTCAAATCCCATCCCTCTGACTGGGTTAAAGCCACCTTGTCTTTCTGCAGCTGGTGAAAATGAACCAAAGAATGAATTAGAACGATACGTGATCCTGTCATGAACGTCTGCAAATGATTCATTTTTAGAGTCAACCCTTGTCAAGATGGCCGCTACAGCGGATCAGTGTCACCCAGCACAGTGACAGTTGTAACTCAGTCAGCTTTACACGCGTTAAAGTGTCCTGTGGTGGTAGCCGACAGTTGTTCCTAACACTACCAGTTTAGTTAGACTCTGGGAATACTTGATGTTTGCGTTTCTCTCTGATCAGTGGAGACCATCCTGGGTCTGACTGGTGCCACCATGGGGAGTCTCATCTGCTTCATCTGTCCTGCTCTCATCTACAGAAAGATCCAGAAGAATTGCTTTGTTTCTCAGGTCAGACTCTTCCCGCCCTCTCATGTCGTTCACAGTAAATGTCTTTAGAGACGGTTTTTGACTGAACCATTTCCCTGTCCCTCTGTGCTGCAGCTGGTGCTTTGTGTTGGTCTGGGAATCCTGCTCATCAGCACCTTCACCACCCTCTCCATTTCTGCCAGTGGCCCCAGCTCCAAGGTTCAGCATCCTCCCCCAGCACCAGACAGGAACATTGCCCCGCTGCCGAACCTCCCTGAACCACACGGTAAAGATCATGACTCCCTCTAATGGCTGGCAGGCACTTAGCCAGTTGATGGAGTGTAAATGAAAGCGGTTTCCTAATGAGGCGTGGAAACATTTACTTGGACGGGCCGGAGTCGGTGCTGAGGCTGAATGTAGCACGTGTGATTGGACGGCGCCACTGCGTGTAATTACTTCCTGTAAAAAATGCCCCCACCATACGAGAGGCGTGTTTATTTCCTGTTTTCTTTCCTAAGTGGTGGACTGTCACCTGCACCGTAAATGAAGCACAAAGAGAACATGGAGCAGAAGGAAAGGGCCAGTGAGACTAAAACAAAAGCACAACAGAAGAAAGTTTCTTTTATCTGAGAAGAAAAGATGGAGACAGACAGGCAGGAGGAGAGATAACCTCTTGATAATATCTGAAAGCAGCACCGAGTGCTTGACATTGATGAAGCGAGATTGATGCCCTTCAAACTAGAATACACCCCCCCACACACACACACACACCCCTATTAAATCACTTTGTCTTCAGCCTCCTCTACCCTCCTATCTCCTGTGGAAACTATAAAACGTCTTAGAGCTTCGGCTGCTCAACGCAAAGGGCTGATGGGAGAGATGAAAGGAGTGGAGACGAGGCTCTGAGGAGACGGTTTCTGCTCATGTTTGCAGGTTTGGGCTAAAACAAGGAGAGTCTGGAGGGAAAGCTGACAGTTCTTCATCCTAACTGTTCATCATCTCATCTTTTGTTTAGTTCCCGCCTGTTTGTTCGTGCAGGAAACTTTTCTTTGTCCGTTTCTATTTCCTTCTGTTTCCTGTTCATCACCCTCTCTCTTCTTTATGCAATTCAGAACACTCAACTGGCTCCTGTTTGGCCTTTGCTGCCCTCTAGTGGTTCTTTTCTCAGTGATCTTTTATTAAAAGCCTCTGCAGGGTTTCCAATACAAGAGATTGACTTTTAAGAAGGAAGTGTTTTCCAACAAAACAAAACCAGAAACAGAACTTATAATTTTAGTGTTGTCATCTCTGATTGCATTCAGCAACAGTCATTTTGTTTGTTATTGTCAAACAGACAATCCTCCAGACAAGAACCCAGCGGAGATAGAACAGCCCGATCTTCCACCTGTGGATGTCGTTCGACCCGCAGAGAAAGAGCAGGCTGAGCCGCCTCAGATCAAAGGACCAGTTGAACAACCTGATAGGAAGGAGGAGGAGGAGGAGGTGCAGTTGGACCGCCCTGACGCTGGTAAGGAACCTGAAGAAAAGCTAGAGCTTTAAGCAGCCTTTTAGCTGGAGACTGATGGTGGTTTAATCTGTCAGGCGTAGCAGTTCCAGAGGCTGAAGCCCACCGCCACGAACCTCCCAACCCTCATGACAACGTCAAGGTGGATTCCAGAAAGAACAACGCGGAGCTGGAGGAGGTCAAGCAGCAGCCTCCTGCTAAGAGCGTTGAGGAAGAACCCAAAGCTGAGGAGCAGGAGCATGCTCCCAAGGTGGAAGACACAAAAGACAATAAGGTCAATGAGAAACACAAAGAGGCTGCTGCAGGAAAACCAGGCAGTCGGGTCGTGTCCAACGAGGTGCTAGATAAGCACGATGAAGACGCTGGCAAAAAGGAGGGTGTAGCTGCGCTAAAACAGGTGGAAAACCTCAATCCTGAAAAAGATGGAGGACATGCAGCTGCAGAGGTGAACGCTGCTAAACCTCCTAAATCTGCAGAAAAGGGTGAACATTTAAACTTTAGAGCAGCAAAGTCAAAGGGGGAAAAAAGCTAAATTTAATTAGGGATCTGTGTTTTCATTTTAGCTCCGCCTCCTGACGGAGAGCATCATCCTGCTGCCGATGAAGCTGCAGCTGTTGACAGCAAAGATGCAGCAGATGAAAAGATGGAGGGTAAGTTAACACCTGAAGCTTGTTGCATCATCAGGGTTTGGTGGTTGTTTTGGTAAAAGTGACGATTGCTTTGGTCTGAAAGGCTCTTCTGTTCTTGGTTCTGACCTCACTTTGCTCGTCGTATTATCTCGCCCAGCTGAGCTTCTGATTGTGGCTTTGTTTTCGAGTGTCCTGATGCTCTATGCTTTTAGCGTCCTGATTTTGCTCGCTCACTTTCTTGTTCTGTTGTTTACTTTGCTCTTCCTGCTTCCCGCTGGACTCAAATCACAGTGATAAAAAAGCTGGTTGCAGGTACGGATCTTCTCTTGCTTGTCTTTCTCCATCTTTCACTCATGCCTGTTTTCTGTTTAACACCTTGTAACTGTTACATTACTCAACACTGCAGTCATGAGTCAGTAAAACAAGCATCTATTCATGTAACATAGTGTAGTTTGTGTCCATGGCGACGTCCCTGCCTCTCATCCAGAAGCTTAATAACGCCACGTTGTTCTCTGAGCAGCGTCCTGCTCGTTTTAACTGAACGTTTGTCTCTCTGCAGAGGGCCAGCTGGACCATGCGGTGCTGCTGCAGGTGATCAAAGAGCAGCAGCAGCAACAGAAGAGACTTCTGGACCAGCAGGAGAAATTACTGGCTGTCATCGAAGAGCAGCACAAGGAGATCCACCAGAAGCAGCCAGCTGGTGGGTCTAAGCCCCACGTGTTGCTCAGGAAATCTGGTAGAAACACAGATGTGCAGCTTGGTGGGATTTGGAAAGCTATAATTACAGATTGTAGATATCATGGTGCTTGAAGTTTTGTAAACCCTTTCGAATTCTCTCTGTTTCTGCTTAAATATGACAGGAAATATCAGAGTTCATCATTTATGGATCGTTCAGTCAATAGATAAATGAGCAGGTAATCTCACTTAGGTAACTGGGTTCTCCTTCCCCACTTTAAGGACTTGTGTGAAAACCTGATGATGTTTGAGGTCGTATTTAAGCAGAAATGTAGACTATTTTAGATGCTTCCCAGTAGGGATGGATGCTGATTCAGTAACAGTTATATCTCTGGACGGACGTGTGGTGCGATAGATTAAAAATAAGGGTTGATCAAAAGTTGTCCTTTGCTTCATTCTAGCCTACTGGGTCGCTTAACACTGGAGTTGCTCTGCCCTGGACCAATAATGTTGGTAGAATAGGCAGACGGCACAGTAGCAACCTGACATGCTAACGTCTAATGTAGCCTATAGCCACTGAGTCAGCGTTCTCCAGCGTCTTGCATCGTGACGATTTTAACTAACCAGGAATTACTTTTAAATCACTGGGACTTGACTCTTTTGGTTGTGTGTTTGTTCAGTGGTCACATCTCAGCAGTCTAGTCATATCAGGAGAGCTGCATGCATTTAAACTGGACACTAAATAGTTTAATGTTAAAAACTGAATATGGAGCACTCTTAGAACAGAACACGTCACTGCTGGGTGTTGCATTAACACGTGGCTCTCTTGTTTCTGACAGGAGCTTCTGATGTGGAAGCTGAGAAAAGTGTTCAGGAAGGTGGAGCAGTGAAGCCCAGAGATTCTGGCCTGGCACCCGAGCCCAGGGGAGACGGAGGGGCTCCAGCTGCAGCAGAAGGACACGCTGCAGCTCAGAATCAAGCGCCGGCCGGGGAAGCTGAAGTGGCTCCTCCAGCTGCTTACAAGGAGGACGACGATAAAGCTCCGCCAGTAGGAGAGTCTCAAAAGCAGAGTGAGCTGGGAGCTCGAGGAGTCCCGCTAGGAAAGAAAAGTCCTGATGACATTCAGCCTGTGGTCCAGAACGGTCAGGCTGAAGAGGTGAAAGGTGAGGAGAAAAGCATAGACAAGCCAAAGGAGACAAGTGAACATCTAAAAAAAGGAAAGCTGGAGAAAAAAGTTGGTGAAACAAACAAGAAAGAAAAGCATGATGTGGATCTGAAGGAAAGAATGAGCAAAGAAATGCAGCTGGAAAAGGAAGATCTGGACCGAGAAAGGGTAGAAAAGGAGGGAAAGGAAAAGCTGGTTCTAGAGCAGCAACGAGAGAGAAACGAGAAAGAAAAGATGGAGAAAGAAATTCTAGTACAGTTGGAAAAGGAACGACTGGAAAGGGAGAAAAGAGAGGAGGCGCTCAGAGAGCGGGAGCTGCAGGAAGCAAAGCTCGCACAGCAGCGTCAGAGAGCCGACAGTGAAATAAACGACAGAGCCAAGAAGGTGCTGCAGGTGGAGGAGGCTCAGGAGAGGCTGGCCCAGCTGCAGAGGGTCGTGGAAGCCAAAGTTGCTGGGAAACCTCAGGGGAGCGAGGGAGGAGAAGGAGAAGCTCTGAAGAATGGAGGGCGAGACCTCAAAGAAGAAGCCGGTGCTGAGGCAGAGCCGGGAGGAGGAGGCGTAGACGGGGCCCTCAGAGATGAACCCCACGAGAAGCTGAGTGAGAAGGGAGCCATGGATCTGAGGAGGAGGAGGAGGAGGGCACTGAGACCCCTGAGGGACTCGGGAGAGTCCAGAGGTGTTCCTGGGCTGGAGCCCCTACTGGAGCTGGGGGGCTCTGACCTGCATGCAGCTCTGGAGCTGCAGCTGCTGGGTGGGGCAATGGTGCACTCCAGGCAGATTAAACAGGCCCCCGAGGAGGAGGATGGGGCCAAATAACACACACACACACACACCCCAAATACTGTGGACCGACTTTCCGCTGCCTTACAGTCTGAAAGGTTTTGGACCAAATATTCGCCCGGGTCTTTACTAAAGTTTGTAAATATTAACTTATTTTTGACTTTAGAGGGGACACGTCTAAAGAGGTCACTGTGTAAATGTAAATACATCCGTGCACATCCCATCTGTGGAATAGCTTCTGGAAAAATGCTGTTTTTACGTATTTGTGTGTTTCCTAACTGAGCAGTTTGAAGTCTCAGTTTGAGCGTTATTCGGTTTCCTTTTTGTTGTTTGTGTGGAAACGCTGAAAGTTTCTGTGGCTTTAGGGTTCTCACCCAGACGGACCACTAATGTGGGTGACAGCTCCTCTGTGTTAAACAGAATTTACCTCGTTAATTTTCCACGGCGTACTCTGAAGTAATGTCTAAATATCCCAGATGATTCACCTCTTCCTCTGACTTATTAGTGCCTTTTGACCCACATGCTGCCCTACATTTAAATAAACAAGGCATCTGTTTTCCTTTGTTCTAAATATTGTTGAAAATCTGAACTTAGTTTTATCACATCTTTGCTTTATACAAGAGTATTTTTCTATGTGTAAAGTAAGAGTCAATAAAAGATGGACAAGATTGAACTTTGGTCTGTTTAAGTAAAACAAAGAAGGAACATGTTCCTCTGTTACAGAATAAAGTTAAATCACACAAAACTTCATCCTGCATCAGAAAATCTGTTTATCCCTCAGATCAGATGAGAGGTTTCCACCTTGTTGCTCCACAAACCAAAGACTCGTCGTTCATTTAGTTCTTTTCTTGGCCTGTGCGACAGAAAAAAAATTTAATTGAGTGCATCTAAAACAAGCCTGGGTCTTTCTGCTGAGGACTCACGGCGTGGGTGAAGCAGGTCTTTAGTGCCTGGAACTCTCGAGCACACAGGTCCTTCTTCAGCTCCTGTCTGCCTGTCGTCGTAGCTGCTACACACTTCCCATACGCCGCTGCCTGAAGCACAAATCATTTTTCATTCCTAGGACTTATTTTTTAAATTAAATTTAAAATTTGCAGCGACTTCTCTAAGGTGTTTCTGTCATTCAGCTATATCCGTTTCAGCTCAGCTTGTTTTCTTGTTCAGGACGGGAAACGGGGGTTTATTGCGCTACAAATGTTTAATATTCAAAGCTACACTTCAGGAATAGTACTGAGCAGGTGTCGGCATGTTTGCAGGCACTCGGAGAACAGCCTGGTGTGCACTTTAGGACATCCTCAGGTCTCAGACATCAGACAATAGAGGACAAAAAATCTGGTTTCATTCAAAAACCCAGACGTCTAATCAAATAGCATCAGACGAAAAGGTCTCAGGAAAAAAGTCTGTCTGATGACACTAAGTAGTTTTTCTTTCTCTGTGGTCTGATGTCTGAGGACGTCCTAAACACCAAACTGGTGTCGCGAAAGACATCAGATTAAATAAAGATTAAAGTCGTTTTCTCTGACTGATTGGAGCATCATCACTGTTGATCAATTTCCCTCTGGGATTAATAACGTATTTTTGAATTGAATTGAAGTTCCTTGTCACACCAACCTTAAGTCACCATCCTGACACCATGATCCAGGTGTGGGGTTGGCAGGTGGACAAACAATTCACCCCTCACCTTCTGACTGATTAGGAAGATCATGGACTGTCTCCAGTCAGGATTTGAACTTAAAGTCAACAGTCCAGATGTTGACTCTGCACATTATGGTGGCTGTACTGATCCCTCCTCAGTAGCAAAGCGTTTATGCATGTGTATAGTTTAAAGGGTAGATTAATCTCAGGTTTTAGGACAAATTGATTCAAAGTATTTTACAGATTAAACGTGTCTAATAAATAAAGCAGAGCTCTACGGGGCATTTTAAAAACAATAAAGTTGAAGACTTAACTTTCCGTTTAACAGCAGGCGGTCTAAATCCTCTGAACCTGCCTTTATGAGAGCTCACCTCATCCGCACACTGAGCAAACACTTCAGAGAAGAGTCGCAATCTCTCCCGGTTTCGACTCCACACATTATTAGACCCAGACATGTTGCGCATCAGACAGCAGCAGAGGAGTCCTTTGTGTTGTTGTATTAATGAATGGTGAAAAATATTGTTTGTCATTGGTTTAAATGCATTACAAAAAACCCCAAAAACATCTTAAAAGCAATCGGGTAAGTCACCGACAGCGCCATGTTGGTGTTTCCTTCACAAAACTACATCCGGGTCAGATATTCCTATACGTGATAGGCTCGCGTACTTGTCAATCTAAAGAAAACGTCGGAGGTGGTGGGAAAGCGTTATTAAATTTAATTGGCTGTTTGAATCGAGCTGAAAGCCAATAGAAATAATTGCTGCTACTGACTAGTTCGTGATTGGCTGTCAACTAAAGTCCCGCCCTCCTTTAGCAGCAGGAAAATGAGTAACCTGCAGCTTGGTTTGCTAAATCATGGCTTCATTTATGGAACGAATAGCTTTTCTTCAGAAAGTAAGGAACATTTACATACATTGTTAGTTAGAAACGCAAATAATATCTAAGAAGACTCTGACAAGTGAGACGTAACGCTGACGTGTCTGTTTAAATCTGTTTTAGCTAGCTACTAGCTAACATCAACATTACTAGTCTCATTGGAAATGTTGGGTTGTTTCTTTAACGTTAAGTCATCCTGTAGTTATTTTATGATGTTTTACAATTAGCCAGTCTTCTGGACACATTTATCTAAATATTAATTCCTTTAATTGAAGGTTCCCATCCTGATGAAAGCTACAGCAGATGATGAAACGCCCTGTCCTGGCTACGTTTTCCAGGAGATTGGCAGTATCCATGTTGGCATTGATACACCTGTTAATGTGTATATACACATACATATATAATCATATAAATGTCATTGTTATTATCTGAAACCAAATTAATCTACTGCTGCTTTATGTGTACTGTCTTGTCAGAAATCAATCTGAGTCTTGTTTATTACAGATGAAGGTGGATTTGTAAATCAGGCATCACACCAATTGTTCATTCATCTCAGATCAATGTTATGCAACAGCAAAGTGAAAAGGGCTGTTATAGTCTGATTATCTGACTTTAACAGTGAGCATCTTGCAGAAATCTGCCACGAGTCTTTAGGTTATGGTCAGTGTTTGTTGGAATACCTTCTGGAGAGGCTCCAAGTCGAGTCCTGCCATGTTAAACTAAAGGTGAGAGCTACTAATCTGTAGCAAACATTTTCGATTCCTCTGTGTGATTAATTCTCATCTTATCTCTTGTGAACCAGGTGCTAAAGATCTTCGTCCATCTCTGTGGTCATGGATCGAAGCCTTTCCTCACGGAGCTCAGAAGGAATTCCACCTTCATCCAGCAAGCATCAGGTGAGATTAGAGCACTTCATCTGCTTTCCATGATGCTGGAACAGGGTTATAATCTCAATATTAACACTGCTGGATGGCTTTTCTTTTATTAGTTTACAGTGGTCCCCCTGATCCCATCCATGGCACAGCACTTTACCAGAAAGTGAGAAACACAGCACAGGTGAGGCACTGAGGTAAATCTTTCAGGTCAGTGTTAACAGCCTGACAGCATCTCAGCAACCGTTTGGCTTTTCTTTTACAGGAAGTGGCTCGTTTACTTTTCACAGATGCAGTTTCTGTCAAAAGCAGCATAGCTCCTCACAGCATAGCACCCCCGACTATGGGTGAGTAAACATATATGCTGGGATGTTGATTCAGAGTGGGTTGTTCTTCATTTTTAGCTGTTTTGGTAATAATGAAATTAACAACTGAGGTAGCAACCATGAGACAACGCCTCAAACAGGAATGGTTTTGCAGGTGGAGGCGCCAGACATTTTCTCCCTCCTCATCTTTTTTGACTGCTGCTTCTCAGGAGTTTGCCTGGGGATCAATTTTACTAATAGTAGTGTCAGGCCATTCCTACAGAGCTTGCACTGGTAGTCCTGCTCCATCAGGAGACAGTTAGGAGTGTTGGACAGGACCATCAAACAGGAATGATAGTTTGATGTTGGGTCCATGTTATTCCAGAGAGACATAACCCTAGTGAAACACACAGACCTGTGCAGGATAGATGATGGCGCCCTGGTTGTCTTCAGAATCAGGATGGAATCCTTAGACCCTTTGCCGGTGCAGTGGGTCCTGGGTTCGTGGTGCATGAAAATGCCCGGCCGCATGTGGTAAAAGTATGTAAGCAGGTTCTGGAGGATAAAGCATCGACTGGCCTTCACACGCACCTGACCTAGATTCAACAGATCATCCATGTGACATCATGTGTATGTCCATTCAACACTACTAGGTTGCACCTCTGGGAGCTCAGTGATGCCTTGGTCAGGATCTGGGAGGAGAAACCCCCAGACACCAATCACCACATCATGAGGAGCATCCCCTGACGTTGACCATTCTGAGCTGCTGCAGTGACATTCCTTACATCTTTTTTTCACTTTTCCATATTTCTCTTGAGCATGTGGGCGGGGCAAAAGACGCACGGAAAAAGTCTGTGGTGTCTCCCTTAAACAAAGGCCATGCAGCTCGAGGCACGGCAATGCTGTGTGTGTGTGTGTGTGTGTGTGTGTGTGTGTGTGTGTGTGTGTGTGTGTGTGTGTGTGTGTGTGTGTGTGTGTGTGTGTGTGTGTGTGTGTGTGTGTGTGTGTGTGTGTGTGTGTGTGTGTGTGTGTGTGTGTGTGTGTGTGTGTGTGTGTGTGTGTGCATACGCTCCTCACAGCATTGAAACAGAGAGCTGCCGCAGCTTCAGTCAGAGGCGACCAATGTTTACGTCTCAGCATCCAGAATACTGAGTCGCACCTGCGGGAAGCTCCCGCCGGTTCGTTCTATCAGCCAATTGGAAGCTCCCCTTAACGCTGGGCGTGTATTTGAACCGGCCAATCAGTTGGCATTGGGTGTGTTGGACCTGTTCAGCTTGAAACAGACCGCGTTGATATGTAGGCCAAAAAACTGGTCGAGCATGGATAAATACACGGCCACCTAGATGTGAACACTTTAAAGCTACCCAGTCCGGTCCATGCTGGCCCAGATGTGAAAGCACCATATGTCTCTTGGCTGGTCAGGAAACACCTTAGGATTCCCATGGAGGAGCTGGCTCAAGTGGCTGGGGAAAGGGAAGCCTGGGCCTTCCTGCTTGGGCTGCTGCTGCACGACCCGACCCCAGCTAAGCGGCTGAAGAAGGATGGATGAAACTTCTGTGGTTTTATTGTTAATTTGATCAAAGTCAAACACTGGAACTCTGCTTGTCTAATGTCTTAAGGCACACACTGTGGGTTCTTTCAGGTTGACATGAAAACATAATTCAATATAAAATATTATGTGTTTTATGCTACGTGCATGAGGCCCCCATTTGTTTATGTCCAGGTATGGGGTCGGCAGGTTCCCTCAGGTCAGGGCTGCAAGGCTTTGGCTATAGTCCAGGAAAGCAGGGAATGGGTGAGCATCACACACATACAAAAACACACATTACGAGGATTTCTTCACATTTCTCCTTTACCCGGACTTGCAGCAGGCAGCGACTCGCTCCTGGACAAGATCCAGAAGGCTGCCGAGGTGGTCGCTAGCGCCGTCCTCCCCCCAGCGGAGCAGCAGGGCATCCGTCTTCATGACAACCATTACCGTGCAGTCGTGGCTCCATCGGCACCCATAGAGGTGGCTGTGCCGGCGTGTGCCTATAACCTGCCTATCAGCAGATCCAAAGGTCAAACATGAGATTCTAACAATGCTGAATCTCTGAAGGGCTGTCATTTTTAAATATACGTCCCTGCAGCATCACCATGTGGGTGGAGTACACACTTTGTCACCTGACCTTTAAGCGTTTGGTGTGTGTGCACCACAGCGGTGAGCCAGCGGTGCCCCGGGCAGGTGGGAGGTGGCTGGGAGGAAACTGACAGCAGCAACAACTCATCCCACAACTCGTCTCAGGAGATCACCACCAACAGCAGGACGTCCGTGTGCACGAGGAGCCAATCAGGAGCCAGCAGAGAGAGCAGTGGGGACCTCTCAGAGAGGTCAGTGGCGACCATTCTACCTTCACAGCAACACTAAAGACAACACTTAGGGTATAGTGTTTATAGGAACCGGGGTCCATAAAATGTGACTGGTGGTGTCAGTTAACTGTGGCAGCCATCTTGAATCGAGATGTAGACGTGGTGATTGTTATTTAAATTAGTCTTTTGTGTCTAGAAGACATTTTTCCGATGAGCCAGTGTGTTGGTGATTCGATACGTCTGATGGTCTCCCTTCTGCAGGACTGAAGCTCTGCAGCTGGGTGACTGTGGTCAGGAGACGGCTCTCATCAACAGACTGACCGAAGGCTCCAGAGTTTTTCTGACCAAGGAGGAGAGTCAGCACTTCCTCAAAGAGTCAGTGGGTCCTCCTTAATAGGGATGCACCAATACGATACCGGTATCGATATCAGCACCGATACCAATACCAGTATCAGTATCGTTAAAAGTTAACCGATACCAGGAACCGATACCAATGCAGTTGCTTGAAAATGGCTTCACTGTAACTCGTCATTTCTGTTCACCTAATATTTTAGTTTTGTGATGAATTCCATTCATATATTTTACTTTTTATCGACCTCACAGTCTTTTCCTGTTGAAAGCAGAGAAGAAAATAAAATCTGTATTCCAAATCACTGCATTTTTTTGTGTGGTAGAAGTATCGGTATCGGTAATCGGTATCGGCGAGTACTCTGTTCAAAGTATCGGTATCGTATCGATTTGGAAAAAAGTGGTATCGTTGCATCCCTACTCCTTAATGTCATGACAGAGGGCTGTCGGGCCTGGTGAAACGTTAGCGTTTAAACTTCTGGTGTAAAATGGTAACAGCACCATTTTACACATGGATATGAAATTCGATTCACAAACTTTCCATCTCTGGACCTACATAAAAGTGCTCCTGGACGGATCTTTGCTCAAAAACATTATTTTGCTGTTCCACATGTGTCTAGTGTCTGTGTGGGTGTGGCCAGAGCACAACCTGGACTTCTTACTTTAAAGTCTTAAAGTGCTCTAACGTTCTCATAAATATCTCAATACGGTGTCCTCACAAAAACCCCGCCCACGTTTTAATGGTGGACCTCCTGCTGTGAGTCTTTGGATGAGAAATTCAAACTTTGGCTAAAAATTGACTTTTTCTTCTTTGGTGTGCCAGTCTAAAGAGTCCTTCTCACCATGACCATATTTAGACACGGATGAAAATGTTGGAACCACGCTAAAGAGAGAGAAACCCACCACTACAGTAATTACAATTCACTAATGGAACCAGACCCAGATGGGGTTAGAACCCAACACTGGACGCTCTGAAGTCTTCTTCTATGAGATGTGATCTAGATCCTCTTGGAGAAGGAGCCCTTCAGACCTGAGACAGCTGGAGCAGGCTGCTCATGAGCTGAGGACCAAACACCTATGGACAGGTGATTGTTGGTTGTTCAGCATCGGGTTTAATGGTTCTGCTGAACCACGACCCAAAAGCCAAGTCTGTTTCGTTGTGAAGTTTTTCCCTTTGACCTCTGTCGTCTGATACCTTCATCCATGCTTGTAAAGTGCCATGATTGTGTTTTGTATTTCAAACTGCAGCCTAATTAGTCCTAATGACCCCTTCAGGTGTTTCATTCTGAACTGTGAGGTTGTGGTGGAGCTGCTCTCCAACAAGCTTCAAGAGTCCTCCTGCGCCATTAGGATGGTAAGCGTGATCCTTCCTCCTCACGTATGAGCCCGTTTTGGGTCTGTGTGTGTTGTTCCTGCTCTAACGCCATCTGGCTTGATTCGTGCAGCGGGCTCTGTGTGCTGTAGCGTGCCTCATGACCTCTGACCTCCTCTCTTTGGAGCAAATCTTTGGAGCTACTCGGTGCAGACTTCAGCAGCTGAGCGAGGGACCTCCAGGACCCGTGGCAAACAAAGCTACCAAGGTAGGAGCTAAGCCAGGACATTGTGAGGGCCCGCTGAATGAGAAGGGGTTGTATTTGTGCTTCTCTCCTCCTGACAGATCCTCAGGCAGTTTGAGGCTCTCATGGGTGGATCTCTACACTCTACCAGCCAACAGGCAGCAGCTACTCAGCTTCACACGTCCCACAGCTCCAACTTTAACCTGTATCAGTGTGAATCCTCATCAGCATCAGATCAACCATCTCCTCCTCGTGGTCCAGAACGGGCGTGGAGATACTCCACTGAGGAGGACCACAGGGACAAGAACCTGGAAGAATCAGAGGAAAACGGTGTGGAGACGATCAGAGCTGCTGATGTAAAACCATCCCCTGGAAGTCCTGCGTCAATCAGAGACATTATCTCTGAGCCTCCGAGCGTCCTGACTAACCAGAGCAGACCGTCTCTGTTCAGAGGAATGGAGCTGGTGGCCAAAGGGAGGGTGCTGCATGAAAGTGTCACAGAGTCACATCAAACGGGCGGCAGCTCGGGGGGTGACCCCGAGGGTCGGTTAGACTCTCCTGTGAGTTGTGGTCAACCTGGAGAGGACGCCATGTCTGGTTTTGGTCCAGTCACGGCTGGTCAAACACGGCCTGTGTCGGCGTTCGCATTTCTCAACTTTTGACAACCAACCATGCTCTTAGAGGGGCAAACCTTAAACAGTGATGTCATCGATAGTTGTTTTATCTTACAGCACCCAAACCTAAGTTGTGCCTGATGTGCATGTTTGTTAGCAGCAGTGTAGGGTTTATGTGTATTGTCAGAAACAGCAGAGAAATGCACAGATACAAACGTATCATGACAAGGACAGCGCTCCTTGTCCCCGAGGACTCGTTTAAAAGAGAGCAACATGATGATCCAGAAGGTAAAGCCGAGGGGAATGCTTCTAGCCCAACTCCACGCAAACTAAATCAAAGAGAACAAGAACTCTGTTACGGTTTGTACCTGTGAGAGCTCATTTTCAGCTTTTCCTTCATTCAAAAGTAGAATTAAACCCCTAAAAACGTCCGCTAACAAACAAAAGTGAGTCTTTGAGCTGCTTATGTGGCTACAGTCCACTACTGGTTCTAGTTCAGACTGAAGGTCGTATGCTGCCGCACATTTAACTCTTGATTTGTAATTGGTAGAGATGATCCGATCACGTTGTGTTTGCTCCCAATCCGATTTACCGGTATTTGATTTTGAGTACCTGCCAATACTGAATCCTAATCTGATTCTTTTCAGGAAAGCATTAAAATTTAAAAAATAATAATTTTCAGGAAGCTGCAAGCATTTTAGCAGAGGTGTGGGCTCGAGTCACATGACTTGGACTCGAGTCAGACTCAGGTCATTATTTTAATGACTTCTGACTTGACTTGATCAAATCTATAAAGACTTACGACGACTCGGACTTGAATGCCAATGACTTGCGACTTGAATCGACCTGCATCTGTTGACTTGATGATGACTTGAGCATAGTTGATATTTTAGCACAAAAGTGACACGACATGGACAAAAATCATAAATCATTCTGGGTTTGGTCTTGTTCTGCTAACTGCAGCAGCACGTTGTTTATAATCAGTTTCAGTTGCACTTCCTGCTGTTTGAGCAAATAAATGAAGCTTTAAGAAGCTTTATTTCTGGAATTTATTTATTATCGTTGTCGTTAACTTGAAGTTGGACAGATGACTTGATTATGACTTGAAAATTCAAAGTTAAGGACTTGGACTTGGTTGTCTTTGACTTGGACTTGACTCGAGACTTGACTGGAAAGACTTGTGACTTGCAAAGCAGTGACTTGGTCACATCTCTGCATTTTAGCTCTCCTTAAAAGGCACGTTAGCTCTGCGTTAGCCTGCTTGCTAACAGCTGCATCTTGGTGTCTGAATCCCTGCCTGCCGTATATGTGTGACCTACAGTGTTGTTTTCGTACAAGAAGCAAATAATACGGATGTAGAGGAACTTAAATGAAAACGAAGCTATTGTTATCCCATTATAAAAGCTTTGTCTCAGGATGAATTTAAAATGTCATGTTTGTTGTTTTAAAAGTTTAAATCCAGTCTTTTCATCCGGATCCTTTTAAAATCACGTGATCGGACCCGATTTCAGATCATGTGATCAGATCGGGGGCATCCATCGTAACTGGCTCTGACCTGACGAACCTTAAACATGATGTCTGTTATAAATCAAAACCAGAATTGAGTTAGTATTTAAAAGAAGTGGAAAACCAGAGAACATTACTGCTGAATGAGGCTGATTAGCTTCATTTGCATCAAGACTTCGTTAGAAATGTAATGGAAACACATTTACAGATGCCAGCGTAGGAAATGTATATAAATGAGCCTAAAGCAAACCAACTGCTGATCACAATAAATGTGATCACCCTCTTAGCAGTGACTCAAAGTATGAATTAGGAAAACAGGAGTTTGGGGGGAGACTTAGGGAATAGTACGATGGAAGAACCCATTTAATCGGGGTTGTGTTCTACAACAAACCAATGAAGAAGTGAAAGTGTCCTCAGGTGTGATCAATAGCCTGCTGACAGGGTTGTTTGACCTCCACGTGCTGCCCTCAGCCTCTGGTAGAAAAATCTTTCACTCAGACCTTTGAATGACCTTTGTCTTCCGTGTTTATTTTAGTACCAAGCAATCATGTTGGCGGGACTTTGGTGGATTACACTATATTTATATGTATTACATGTCTCCTGTTCTAGGGTCCATGATTTCTAACTAGTGGAGGAATTATTGAGCTATCGTGTGAAAAATCAGTGTTCGATGCAACATCAGAAATATTCACGTGTCATAAAACGGCGTCGCCGCGACTCAGTTGTTTGATGTTTTGTGACCTACTTGAGTGCAGTGTTGCCATGTAGAGCCCCTACATGTCCAGACTGCTGCTGGTTGTTTGGACAATAAAACAAGCTGTTCTTGCTACAGCACCAACTGCTGCTCTAGTCTGCTTAAGGTGGCTGAAGGTCATCAAAAGGTCTAAAGACTACAGAACAATAAAAGAACAGGCTCATCTCATTTTCAGCACAATGTATTGGTCTAGTTAACCACCTGTTAACAAATATGGATGCCAAAAGGCTTATGACACACACACACACACACAGGTGTAAAATGTAAACTACTGGTTAAAAGTTTATTGTGGTTTTACATGAAGCAGGCAGCAGAACCAGCTGTCAGCTCCTCACTTAAAGCTGGTAAGGTTTCTAAAACATACGGTGAAACTGCGAAAAACTAGAATCTGGTGTAAAAGTTCATTTATGTCACTAACTCAACTCAAATGTGAATCTAATACAAAAACCTCACAACATCTCCGACAATTACAATATAGTGAAAAGGGTCAATATTCTAGACTCGGTGTGTAAAACTAATGAGCTGATGAATCTAGAACACCATGGTCCTCTGAGCTGAAATAAACCTTTACACCACATTTGAGTTTCACCAGTATCTGCTTTATTAAGGATTGTCCAGCTTTGTTGAAGTGTTTCTGTGTAAAAGTAATAAAAAAGGACTGATGAGCAGAAAGTCTGACCAAATAGGCTTGGAATCATAAATTTAACAGTGCATGTAAATGTCATTTTTAACCTTAACATTACACATTGGTTGTTTAGAAGGATTTCAGCCCTGAATGCACGAAATGCTGGATGTTGTAAAGATTTATGCATTTGGAGAATTAGAATCTTGCAATGTGATAAATATTACAGGGGAGATATACATATGCTAATAAAAGAAGAGTGATATTTGTGATTTTTACGACAGAATTTAATTAGAAAATTCAGGCCCAGGTGCTTCAGAGCCACATCCAGATCTCACTATTCTGTCAGAATGAAGGTGGTTAAAACTGCTGACATCTAGCGATTTGAGTTTGACTTCCACCGCACAGAAGAAATCTAGTAAATGTTTGGTATGGTTCCTCAATACAGAATCATGACACGACATGCTGGGTTATTTCAGTGTTTTCTTAAATCCCGTTGATGGCTATAAATATCCACAGAGATCTGTGTAAATCTATGGCTCATGAAATTTCCAGAATCTGACTCACAAAATGACATGCTAGAGGGTTAAACTAACATGATGAAAACACCCCTTCAACTCAAAACACACTAAAATCCTTTTTTTTTTTTAATTATTTATGTTTAGCTTTGAAATCACTTATACTGAAACTCGGATTTGTTTTTTTTGTTTCTAGAGAGCATCTAAAACCTTCTCACACTGGGATCCCCGCTCCGACTTTGGAACTACTCAAGGGAAATGAATGCAAAAATGAAACCAGTGTAAAGGTTTATTAAAATAACATTGGCGTTTTCAAATGACAGAAACCCATTTTGGTGTTTGCTGCATTCATTCTGGATTAGCTCATCATTCCTAGAGGATGTAATCTAGTTCTCCCAACAGGCTGTTCAGAACGTTACATTTATACATTTTACACAAGACACACTTCAGATCAGCTGAAATATCCCTTTAAAACACTAGTGTAGCACACAAGTACATTTTAAAGATGACTAAACTAGTTGGTGCTATCGTTATCATGTTGGTAAGACAAAAGCTGTGTTTTAACTGAACTAATTCAGTACCTAATCACCCCTGTAACACCAGTTTCCACCATTCAGACCAGCAGCTGGCATGTTCGGTCGAGGACTGGTTGAGTAAAGTGCATCACTTTATTTAAATGTACAAGCACTTTGGATCGTCATCACGTCGTTTTATCATTAGCACCAATGGAAATGTCCACGCACCAACCACGTAAAGAGATACTATCTCCTACTAAAGTGCACAGGGTGCATACACACACACACACACAAATATCAATACTGCACAGACAAACCACAGTGCCTGGGCCATGGAAAGGTGGGTGTGCTTATGGTCTCAAATGATACACGGCGAAGTGGGACCTCCCAACTCCCCTCACCCCGACGCTTGAGGCTTTTCACCAACGGAAGGGAAGAGATCATGCCGGAGGCATCAGCACTGATGGATGGCGGACGAAAAGGTCAACAGGGGTCACACAGGTCGCGGTCATGTCGAGCCTGGACGCCCTCGGTGCTGCAGGCTGCTGAAGTGTGCCTCCCTCAGGACTCCGTTGATGTAGTGGTAGGAGACATTTTGCCCGTCGTCATGGAGACCATGCTGCATGGAGCTGGCAGGATCTTTAGGCTTTGGGCTGGTGCAGTTTTTCTGAATGGGCATGTATGGGCTGGTGCTGGCCTCTGGACTGCTGATTCCAGTACTGCTGTCACTGCTGGAAGACTGCAAACACAGATCAGTGGAAGGATACGGACTGAGAAAAACTTCAGAGGCGCTTTTCCTGGACGGAAGGAAAAAACACTGGAGAAATACGTCAGTGTAGTGTTTATAGATCACTATAAAGAATCTCGGTGTCACCTCCGAGTCCAGATCCGACACAAGAAGGCAGGGACCCCCTCCTAACCTCTTGGCCTGTGGGATCAGCTGCTGGTCTTCCACGCTGTCACAGCTACGGTGTCGCTTCCTGCACAACAGGATCAGAGGCAGTGGGACAGGAATGATGCAAGGGTGGGAACATCGGGATGAGAGAACATGAAGAGGAACCCAAAATAGAAGCGCCCACACACACACGGGCGTGTTGCATATCCAACACACATCGGAGGCCCACTTTCAGCTATACGACATCCACCCATAACGCAGAGTAGCAAGGATCAGTAACATCCGAAGTAATCGATCTTACCGGTTATCAGTCAGCATTTCCGCAGCGAAAACAGACGATTTCAGGCCAAAGAAAACGTGAGACCCTCCCTGTATTCTTTAAAATTCTCGCCTGGGCTCTACGATCATTCTCTCCGAGTGACAAGCCCTGCCTCCTATCTGAGTGCGTAAGGGAGCTTCGACCAGCCGCGGCTCGCTGCTTTTAACTCCGTCCCGTCACCTCTCCAAGCTAATCCTTTCCAATCGAAACGACTCGGAGCGGAGAACTGCTGCTCCGAAAAGCCGAGAGCAACCTGCTGGATATTCTTGTTCACGCAGCGAAATCTCGATAAACTCCAGGCATGACAGTAGAGGGAGCAAACCCCGTCGCTGAAGTTCTTCCGCTGTCGTATCTGTCCTCTAAGCGTTAATCCGCGTCATATGCTGCCTGTCGTTGCCAGCAGCTGTGCTACACTGTTTAATGGTTTACGGTGAAAGAAAAAACGGCGTAATATTGTCTGTTAATAGAAGTTAACCGCGACTCCAGTTTTTTTTGTTCCTTTTTTTTCTAAAGACGTTACTTCTTCCGGTTTTGAAGCCCCACCCATGTGTTTACTCTACGTGACGAGTTCGAACTTCCGCTTTCGACTGCAGCGTAGGCTTTTTTTTTTTTTTTGTCTTTGCACGAAATATAATGTACAACAATTATGGCAATCTCTACAAAGATTCAGTTTTACCAACATAATATAGTATCAGAACAGGCTGAATTCCAACATATAGAAGGATAATGAACAAGAAGTACAAACAACAACAAATAAATAAAATAAAAACAAACCCCAAACAGAATCAAAGTAAACAAATTTGTGTTGGGAGCAAAATCACTCATCTAATTCACATATTATGATGTCATCATACTGCCATATTGGAATGCATCATTTTTCAGATGTTCCTTCTTATTTTTACGTTATTTTGATTTTTTTATTTACAGGTGCTGGCCAGTAAATTAGAATATCATCAAAAGGTTGAAAATATTTCAGTAATTCCATTCAAAACGTGAAACTTGTACATTATATTCATGCAATGCACACAGACCAATGTATTTCCGATGTTTATTACGTTTAATTTTGATATTTATAGGTGACAACCAATGAAAACATCAAATCTGGTATCTCAGAAAATTAGAATATTCTAAAGGCCAATGAAAAAAAATGTTTGTTTCTCTAATGTTGGCCAACTGAAAAGAATGAACATGAAAAGAATGTGCATGTTTAGCACTCAATACTTAGTCGGGGCTCCTTTTGCCTCAATAACTGCAGTAATGCGGCGTGGCATGGACTCGATCAGTCTGTGGCACTGCTCAGGTGTTATGAGAGCCCAGGTTGCTCTGATAGTCGTCTTCAGCTCCTCTGCATTGTTGGGTCTAGCGTATTGCATCCTCCGCTTCACAATACCCCATAGATTTTCTATGGGGTTAAGGTCAGGCGAGTTTGCTGGCCAATCAAGGACAGGGATACCATGGTCCTTGAACCAGGTGCTGGTGGTTTTGGCACTGTGTGCAGGTGCCAAGTCCTGTTGAAAGGTGAAGTCTGCATCCCCATAAAGTTGGTCAGAGAAGGTGTCTTCCAGAAACTGGCAGTGGGACTGGGAGTTGAGCTTGACTCCATCCTCAACCCGAAAAGGCCCCACAAGCTCATCTTTGATGATACCAGCCCAAACCAGTACTCCACCTCCACCTTGCTGGTGTCTGAGTCGGACTGGAGCTCTCTGCCCTTTACCAATCCAGCCACGGGCCCATCCATCTGGCCCATCAAGACTCACTCTCATTTCATCAGTCCATAAAACCTTAGAAAAATTAGTCTTGAGATATTTCTTGGCCCAGTCTTGACGTTTCAGTGTGTGTGTCTTGTTCAGTGGTGGTCGTCTTTCAGCCTTTCTTACCTTGGCCTTGTCTCTCAGTATTGCACACCTTGTGCTTTTGGGCACTCCAGTGATGTTGCAGCTCTGAAATATGGCCAAACTGGTGGCAAGTGGCATCTTGGCAGCTGCACGCTTGACTTTTCTCAGTTCATGGGCAGTTATTTTGCACCTTGGTTTGTCCACACGCTTCTTGCGACCCTGTTGACTATTTTGAATGAAACGCTTGATTATTCGATGATCACGCTTCAGAAGCTTTGCAATTTTAAGACTGCTGCATCCCTCTGCAAGATATCTCACTATTTTTGACTTTTCTGAGCCTGTCAAGTCCTTCTTTTGACCCATTTTGCCAAAGGAAAGGAAGTTGCCTAATAATTATGCACACCTGATATAGGGTGTTGATGTCATTAGACCACACCCCTTCTCATTACAGAGATGCACATCACCTAATATGCTTAATTGGTAGTAGGCTTTCGAGCCTATACAGCTTGGAGTAAGACAACATGCATGAAGAGGATGATGTGGACAAAATACTCATTTGCCGAATAATTCTGCACTCCCTGTAGTTTTAGTTGACGATGGCATCTGAACTTTAGAAAACCTAGTGTCACATGATTTCTGAGCCTGCAGTACAACCTGTTTGTTGTGGGTTGATCAGGGAAAGTTGGTGTAGAGAGATCCATGTGACGAGTGGCTCTGAGATTACTGATGCTGTCAGATCTTTCTGTATCTAAAACTGGATGCTCTTTATTAACAAAAGCCCAGTTTTCAGATCCTTACAGGTAATCCAGAAAACATGTAAAAGAAGTGATTTGGTGTTTGTTGTTGTCTTGTTTTGAAAAGAAGGTAATCTATTGTGATTTGTGAGGAACAGGAGACTAAAAGATGCTTGCTGCATTATTGGAATCACAGTCAGAACCCCAAAGAGGACATGCTCCTCTCCAGAGTTCCTACGGACACGGGCCGATTTAAGATGCTGATTAGAAAAATCCCAATGTTTTCTTTAAGTAGTAGAAAGAGAATAAAATAATCCATCCATTCACATAATCTGTATTAAAATGATTTTAGTAAAAGAGTGTTGTGAAAGTCAATTATTTTCCATTTCCTTTGTGATGTAATGTAACTAAGTGGCCACTGGAGAGGGACAAACACAAAACACTGCTGTCTGACTGACGAATGGGTATTTTCAACTTCACCAGGTAAGGTGACAACCTCTGAACCTGAGATTATGCTGGGAGGGTAAAGACTCAGATCCAGCTGAGGTGAGCAGATTACTGGGTGTGCTTTAGGAATTCTACCCTCCACAAGGCAGCAGCACTTTGATCCTGCCAGCGCTCCAGCAGTCACTTTTGATGATTTGAATCTTCACAGACTCTTAACTGCTGAATCAAACCCTCCACCTGTTGTATTTCAAACCCTTGATTGTTAACTATCTTTCTTCTCTCTCAGCTGTTCCCTTCAGCAGGAACTATTAGTCCAATGTTGCACACCACGACTCGTGAGCATGTCCAGATATCTGGAATACACCTGAAGTAGTCTGATGACGGACCGCTGGATCGGTACCTTCTGCCTTCACAAACACCTTCGTGGGATTTAATACTGAACGGTGACAACAGACTCGTCAAAAACCGTTATTCCAGTGGGGTTCAAAAATGAAGGCAACTGGACATCTTTGATTTCTTGAAGACATTTTGCTTCTCGTCCGAGGAGCTTTGTCAATACGTGAGGGACAATCCGCTGTAGCTGTGGCGCTTAATGAGCAGAAACTATCTATGCACACCTCTCCTCCCTACCTGCTGATGAGTCGTCAGAGTCGTTAGCCTCTGTTGTGAGGGAACTGTTTTGATTAGATGCGAGAGGGTGTGACCTAGACTGAAACAGTCTGGAGATAGGTTCAGAGCTGCATTGTAGGCGCTGGAAAGGTGAAACCTGAGACCTCCCCCTCTATTTATTAATGTAGGTTTTTCATGTTTGACGTAGATGGCTTCCTTTTCTTCTCTCACAAACCATATCTTCTCTGTCCAGAATGTCCTCTTCAAAAGTGTGTCCCTTGTCCTTCCCGGCTGATGCCATCCCCTCTTCAGTGGGTCAGTCGGGCCCTTCCGCTCCTCCAACTGCACGCTGATGACAACGCCGCCATCGCCAGGCTGCTCCAGAGATCAGAGCTGTGCCGCCTGACCTAGAGGCCCCGGCCCTGCCAACCTATCTGCAGCTGCAGTTCTGTCCAGATGTCTCCCGTATGTCCTGGTTTCCTGGGGCTCAGTCCAAGCATCCTGTCCCAGGGTTCTTGTGTCTCCGCCTCCCGAGGTCCAGTCTCCTTGCCGCCAGCCTCCTGTTGCCTTCATCTTGCCAGCCTCTGGACTTCGTCATTAAAGTTAGAGTCGATTCTTGTGTTTTAGCTTACGTTGTGATGTTTTTTAGTTCAGTTTTCCTGCCCACGTGGGTTGTTATTTGTTAATTTAATCCCGCCTCCCCTCCCCTGTGTTTCCTTGTCTCATGTCTGTTTCTTTTTTTGTGCGTCTGGCAGAACAAGCATCTACTTCAACACCTACCGTTTAATGACAGGCTGCAGCTGGAGCGGTCAGATGAAGTTGTGCTTGTAAAAAAGACGAGGTCACATCGGTTTTACAGACCTGGTTTGGGTTTAAGGAGTCTGATGTTGCGCAGAAAAACATTCTCAGTAAAATATTCTGGGCGCCTGTAAAGTCACAGACTATAGAACTTTTTATATTTTTATGTAAAGAGCATTTTTATCACATTAGACTGGGACTTTTGTTTATATGTTCAAATAAATGAAATAATCAAATCAAATCTAACAACAAAATACTAGTATGATCATTTAGAAGTGAATGACTAACAACACAAATGTTTCAAATTAATAAGAACTCATTAAAATTAAATGTTAATTTTTAATTGTTTGGTGACCTCTGGCTAAGTGATGCTGTAGCACAGCGCTCACCAAGGACGGGGTTTTGTTGAAGATTCAGTTCATTCTGCTGATTTCCTGTTGATACATTTATTTTAATAAAGCATTTCTATAATCTTCTGAACCAAATAATCTTGAATTAGGTCGTTGGTGTTTTAGTTTGAAAAGATTCTGTGAAGACAGGATGATGCTTGAAGGCGTTTGAGAGTTTATGTTCCACCAGTGAACAGCTGTTCGCTATAAATAATCTAATGTTAACGTTTCTACAAGCTTTAGTTAAAATCAGACGATTCACGTCCACTGTGTTTCGTTTTCAGACGTTTGTGTCTCTTTGAGTTCGCTGATGGTTTGTTTGAATTAAATCGTCTAAACTTTACATTTAGTCTGATCTGCAGGTTTTGAGACCTTGAAGTCAGAAGTGTATGGATGTGGAAAAGGATGGGTGGAACTCATCTGCAAATATCCAGACACAAACCGCATTTATCAGCACGTTGGAGTAGTTGGTAGTCGCACTAAACAGCACTGGAACAAACGAGTGGGAAAAAAGAAACCGGTTTTCTTTGTACCATGACACAAAAAACCCTCAGGTTTCTGATCACCGATCCGACACACAAGGACAGAGGCGCACAGACGTACATATTTTATGATCCACTGTATCGAATGCTTTTTTAAATCAATAAAGATACTTATGAGATGAGTTTTTTTGTCAATGGCTTCCGATATTTCTTCTGTTAATTCCATTAATGCCATGGACGTTGAATGATTTGT